CACAACGTCATCTTCACAGGTTAGTACCTGGCATACAAGAGAGAGAGAGTTCTTCTTCTTCCTCTTCTCAGTCCACCATCTCCCTCTCACCCTCTCATTATCTCACTTCACTGCATCAACAGACTATTAGAGAGAGAGAGAGAGAGCTTGGTGACATTTTGGATCCAGACTCGTTATTGGACTTCATACATTTTGACGAGGGATTATGTGCGACTTGTAACGAGACTTGGTGTTGACGACTTTCCCATCTCTCCCCTCCTCTTCGTCTGATCCCCTCCTCTTCGTTTGCGCATATCTGGACCTGGCCCCCTCTTCCTGTATATAGCGCCACGCCCTTCACACCGTTTGGTGAGAATGGTGTATGTTTGGTGTGCTTTGCAACATTGCTTGGGCTAGTCATTAGTATTCGAGTATTCTGTTGCGCTATCTTGCACTACGTGATTGAGGTTAGTCCCGGTTAGGTCAGGCTTTGTATCTAAGTCCTCCATGCGCTATCGAACACCATTCTGTATGTATCGAAATGCACATTGCTTGTTGAGATTCCACTTGCATTGTAGTGTCCATTCAGTCTCTTTTATCACATTGCGGATCCTCGGTTTTACATGTACATTGCCCAACTGTGCATGTAACACACAAGCTGGATGGAGTGCTCGACGTCACGCATCAGTGGGATGCTAGTGTACGAGAACGACGATGGGAAAACGTAGTGGTACGCTCGAATGAGGTCACGAACTGCGGGCTCTAGGTCGGCCGTATAGTGTGCGAGTTCCTGAGCGTCATCGTCAGCGCGTGACGGCGGGGTGGACTCGACGGACGGAGGAGGGGGAAAAATAGAGATAGGAGTCATTGAGATAGGAGGATCTGGCTCTAGAGAGATGAGCTCGGCATCGGGGCAGGGTGGATCATAGTGCAAGAGATCCGTAACGTTCACCGTAAATAAGGTGACGTCGTCCAGTCGGATGAAGTGAGCGAACTGCCAAGGCAAGGTGACGATGATAGTAGGAGATGGTGTGGGCACGAAAGGCTCCGGGGGAGGAGGATCGGGGTGTGGTGTCGCAGTGGTACCTATAAAAGGTATGTGATACGTTTGTTCACACTTCGTTTTGAGAACGAGAGTGTTGATCCCCCAATCAGCCTCGGTGCTGCGGAACGGATGACACCACAGTGTGCCGAGAATGAAATCGTACCTCGTCTCCATCACATCGAAATGTGCAGAGGAGCGGTGGCGACGAGACGCCGGAGGACTACCAGTCGGCTCGAGAGCGAGGAAGAAAGGGAGGTCGGTGACCATCTGATCGAAGAAGCGCTGAGTCTTGTCATCCCCTAGGGTGATGGAGATGGGAGTCGGAGACCCTGTCGTGGGTAAGCGAGCTTCTTTGACCACACGTGGGTGAATGAAGTCGCCCTGAGAACCGGAATCCCACTGCGTCGAGTACACCGTCGTGGAGGTCCCCAGTCGTACTGGAATGATCGGGAGGGTACGATCAGGGTCAGATAGGATGGTGAAAAGGTGACGCAGTGCAGCGACATGTAGGGTGAGTCACTCCTGACGAGTCTGTAGCATGCTCAAGTCTAGAAGAGAGGACACAACGTCCTCGCGAGTCGCAAGCTGCTCGCTGCAACGGGATGAGCGAATGGCTCGACGCGTCTGTAGTCGCGGAGGGGTAGGAGGGGAGACGATGGTCTGCGGAGGCGCAAACGATACTGCGACAGAGGGATGAGTACACTCTGTCGGGTCCTGCGATACCTCAGCTTCAGTAGCAAGAGGGGCGAACCACAACGGAGATGTCGGGAAGTCGACTATTGAGGAGGGCGCAGGTATACACTGCACCGTGGCTAGGAGGCATCGCGGGGATGTGAGGCGCCGAGGGGGGACTGAGCACAACGCTGGCGAGAGAGCTCGGCGTAGTGGCGATCGAGGGCGACGGTGTAAGGGCACCACGAGGAGGTATGACCGTCCTGGCGGCAACGCAAACACCCATGCCGGCCCAAAATGGTCGCGCGCTCCTCAGCGGAAAGGA